GCCGCCCTTCTTGACTTCAGCGCATCACCAGTACCAGGACGCCATCTCCATGCATGCGCGAGGTCATCTGCCAGTGTACCTTCGAGTAACTCGACCACATGCTTACCAATGTTTGGAAGTAGCTTGAAGGTATGGCTACATATCAGGTCAGTAACTCAGCAAAACAGCATTCGTAACGAGGAAGAAACTCACCCGCTATCTCCGGTAGCAAGCACGAAATTCTTCCAATCAGGATGTTCGCACATCAAAAGTGCCGCATCTGCTGTGTCTGTACACCAACACAGATGTCTGTTGAACAACTCTTTGTCTGTGAACTTTGGCAGGAACGTCGCAATAGCTTTGCGGATGCTGACCTCGGAGGCATCCGGATAGGTATCTGTGGGATGCTTCGCAGCAGATCTAGGTACCGAGATGCGCTTTGGTGCCGATGCGCCAAAAGGCTGATGTTGCTTGAAGCGTGTGAAGCCTGGAAATTCGTCGCAGACTTTGATGACGCCGTGTTCGTCAGGCTCGAAGAAGAAGCCCACGTCACCGTTGTAGACTACAGGGACGTTCTTGTACTCTGCGGCTTCGCTGGGAGAGAGTTGAATGTGGGCATATACCCATGCCTGAAGACGTTAATTTGGAAGTAGTTAGCTGAGCTGAAATAACATACCTTCGAAACACACTGGTCTTGCAGATCGACAAGCACGGGACTCCATGCACCAGCCGCAAGAACCACCTTGTCAGCGTAATACCTTGTGCCATCCACCGTTTCAACACCAACGCACACACCTTCAGCCAAAAGAGGCTGCTTGAAGGATCCTGCTCCACCGAAGCCGAATTTGACGCCTTGATCGCGCAGATACCCACCAATGGCATCGATGGCCTTTGCTGCAGCAAGCCAGCCGCCGTCATCGCTATAGACAGCTTTCCAACCTTTGATCTGTTCGCGATCTAGGAGTGGGATCTTCTTCAAGATCTCGTCCTCCGAATCTAGCCATTCTGTTGTCGTCTCTAGGCCAGCACCCGCGTCGAGAAGAGCCTGGTAAGCTTGCTTGAGGTCCTTGAGACCCTTTTCACTGTGGGCGCAGTCAAGCTGCAAATACCATTAGTCTCTAAATATATTTCTTGCTAGGTTGCGCTTGAAATACTCACTCGACCGGTGTTGTGAAAATATTCTTTGAACAGATCGTCTTCTTTCCACATCTGTCTCGCCTCCAGACTCAACTGTAAGTCCACTTTGTTCCGCAAGCGGATGCCCATGATCTTGTTCAAGTCATTTCCAGCCGATTGTGACGATGGTATTGGGTACGTGTCTAGCACTGTGATGTTTGAAGGTTTGTATCCTGAGCGTACGAGATGTAGGGCTGTCGACGACCCTATCGTCCCGCCACCACCAGCAACGATGACGGACGTAGTCTCTCGCGACGGTGCCATGCTGAACTATCAAAGTCTATCGCGCTTGAAATGGCTCGCGTGTTGGAATGGGGAGGCGCTGCCGGAAGTCGTTATCAGTAACGACCCACGATGTAATCCCGCCGGTTAAGTATCCCTAGAGGCTGCACACGCCACCAGCACGGTGACACGATGGCGACGCATTCTCCACGCGCCAGATGCGAGCACGCGAGGTTTTGATTGAGTAATTGAGGCCTGCCGTCCCAAGTATCGCGGCCGTTCTCGCTTGGCGATCCCCGACTGTTACCCCTTCCAAACGGGGTTAGGCTGGCGGACGTCAGCGATGCGTCAAGCCCGGGCGGTTTCTCCGATTCTGCCCGGTTTGGGGATGAAGCAGGGCCACGACCTTCCATGCTTGACATTGCGATAACGAAACCGGGTCTATGCAGCCAAAGGGCGATATCAACAAACCTCTTCTCTATAAAACTCGCCCTCAACCCGCGGAGCACCTGAACAGCTGACTCACGCCTTGCATCAACCCGACATCGAAGCCTCGCAACCATGTCTAGCGCAAGCTTACCATTCCTTAATCACATTAGTTCCCAACCTCCACTTTTCCAAACTGTTCGCACTTCCATATCCAGCCTAGTCTACACTCTCATCTAAACAGCCCTTTCCCTCGGAAACCGGTCTATCACCGGAGCGATTGACTCCACAAGTCACTATCAGCTGGACGGGAACGACTCGTTTACCCCAGCTTGGGGTAACATAGTTTCGGGATCCACAGATAAGCCGATGCTGGTCGCGCGGACAGACGGTAGGAGGTAGATGTGTGCGGGAGGGACATGGTGTATATAAAGGTCGCGTGCGATGCCTTTGATCTCGCCTCAGCTCGAAGCTCAGTCGCATCTGCTCCGTATCGTTTTTGGTCTTCCCAGTAAGAGTATTTCAAGATGTCTAAGTTCGACGCTGCTCCTCCCAACACACATGCCGGCGGCGACGACGATGCGCTCCGCACAAAGGGCAACGACCCGCTCAACGCTCCTCCAACATACGATGTCGCCGACGAGAGAATCAACATGGAAGAGTATGCTAGAACAGTTCCAAAGTGGAAGAGAATATGGCAGCACAGCTTGACGCAGATGCTGCTACTCAGTGTGCAGGCTTTCTGCGGTCCTGCGATGGCTGATGCTATTGCTGGTAAGTCGTCTTTGAGCTCATGAAACGGTACTTGGAATTGATAAGTTTGCAGGCCTTGGCGGAGGTGGTCTCGCTACTCCCCAGACTTCGAACATCGCGACCGCTGTCAACTACACCATGCTTGCCGTCTGTTGTGCTCTCGGAGGACCCATCGTCAACAAACTCGGAACGAAATGGGCTTTGGTCATCGGCGCCTGCTCGTTTCCAATCCGCGGCTCTTCCTACTACTGCAACTCCAAGTTCGGAAACCAATGGTACTTGATCTTGGGCGGCTTCATAACTGGTATCGGGACCGGTGCTTGGTATGTTGCAGAATCCGGAACTATAATGTCACTCGCGCCAGCTGGATCTCGTGGCAAGTACCTCGCTCTTTGGATCGTTGCTAGAAACTTGGGACAGCTTGTCGGTGGTGCTATCAAGTGAGTTCTGCAGACTGGAGCCCAGTTCGCAGCAGCTAAAATCTGTGTCACAGTCTGTCAAAGAACCACGAGAAAGGTGTCGAAGGAGGAGTAACGCCAGATACCTACGTCGCCTTTTTGATCATCGAATGTATGGCCTTGCCATTCGCCTTCCTCATCTCACCTCTTGAACGAGTCGTACGCTCAGACGGAACGCGTATCCTCGTCTCTGAGAAGATCGGTACCATTATGGAGTTCAAGCAGATCAAGATCACGATGACGTCGAAGCTTATTTTGCTTTCCGCATTCTGGGCCATATGGTCGTTCTTCTACAGGTCAGTCAACGCACGATCATAAAGGAGCAGCAGCTAATCGGCTATCAGTGGGACATGGTCGACCTATCTTGGAACCTACTTTAGCGTCCGCGCCCGCGCTCTTTCCTCCCTCATCTCGCCATTCTTCTGTATCGTCGGTTGTTTCGGTCTGGGTTTCATACTCGATCTCAAGGGTGTTAGCCAGCGTCGTCGTGCACAGATCGGTCTCTTTACCGTCGTGCTTCTCAACCTCGGTGTCTACATTTGGTCCATCGTCATGCAAGTCGGGTTCAACAGCAATGACCCAGGCAAGATCGACTGGGATGACTCGCTGTATGCGCGTTCTTTCTTGCCATACTTCTTTGTGCAGACGACTGGTCCTCTGTCGCAATCTTACATGTACTGGCTACTCTCTTCTTTCGCAACAGACGCTCAAGGTATGTCTCCTCATTCAGAAAGTCCTCTTGATTCAGTCGCTGATGATATACAGCAAACGTACGTAATGGTGCAGCTTTCCGCTGTCTCGAGGCCATCGGACAAGCCATCTCCTACGGAATGAACACCCAAATCAAGACATCCCCTCTCATCGGCTTCTGCGTCACTTTTGGCTTGATGGCACTTGCGCTGGGTCCGATGCTGGTACTGGTGAACCAGACGCCAGATCGCATCCCCGCTGATGTGATTGCGGAAGAGCAGTACCGCGAAGAGAAGAAGATCGGTAATGTGAACGTCGAGACCAAGGTATAAGGCCTGTTTAGTTAACGATATCTCGATGAGATTGGAATGGAATTCTCTATGCCCTCGTAGTATAAAGTCAATACAATGCCAGAGACGGGTTCGACATTGCCATCTGACATATGCACCAGCTGTGTGACATTGCAACTAAATATGCATAGTTGATTCCTGGCATATAGGATAGCAACACCCTGGGTGATGCTTTGCTGCAGATATGATTAGAAAACAATAATGTCGGAGTGTGTACATGATCTAGCCGCAGAGGTTAGAGATTAGTCTTTTTCCTCCGCGACAAATAACTAATCAGTCGCTAAGACATTACAAGCTTTTATCTAAAAACCTTCGCATAAATTGCGGCATGGATCGTGGCCACACATAGTGCGGCATGTGAAAGAGAGAAATGTATTAATAAGCTGCGAGTCGCCCTTCGGATTGCCGTCACTAGAACCACCCACTGCACTAGCTAAAAATGATTTCATGTTGTTTTGATGGATTCAGTCTCTTCGCTGAATACGCTTTGCACCCAGACACATTAGTGCATGAGTGGCGCGTCAGGGAGCTTGACTTCTAGCCTCATTGCCCATGTTCGATATTCTCGTGGAGCGGCATGACCCTTGCAACTATATCCCATTGAATACAAGCTTCAGGCCGGCACTTAAGGTTGTATGCTAAGACGCGTGTTGCTGATGAGCTAAGCACTAGCCGAATGGGGAAAGACATGGAGCTTTGTTGGCAACGGGCCGATCGATGAAGTATGCGAGTGTTTGGACATGTATCAGATAGTGAATTGAGCCAGACTGGCGGCTTCCTTACGTGCGTACAGCGGGAGAATTCATGTATACCTGGCCGACACGATTAAAAAACAAGTGTACATAAAGACAGTATCGGGCGAGCAATAGAAGACAACTTTCATTGGCTATCACAGCAGCCTTGCTACGTCCCTTTGTTTGTCAAACCCTCAGTTTCACATTCCAAGATGACTATCACAGCAGAGAACAACTTAGAGTACCCCCAGGGTCAACTCTTCGTGCACGCCATCGAGGAGAAAGCGCAATGGATACCGAACAACATGTACATGCGTTACGCGCCGGACGACTGGTTGCACAGGGGTTACAAAACGATTACATGGAAGCAATATGCAAGCGCTATCGATAAGATGGCTTTCTGGTTTGACGAGCGGCTTGGTAAAGCGGTGGATCGCGAGACGGTTGCTTATTTCGGGCCCAACGATCCACGGTATGCCATATTGATACCATCTGTTGTAAAGCATGGACGGAAAGTAAGTGTCAAGTCGTTTGGTGTGATCTCACAGCTGACAGCCTCTGTATTTGCTGATTCCCGATGGACGAGTGACCAAGGAGGGGCTTGCGGGCTTGATTGCAGCAAGTAGTTGCAAAGTATGGCTCTATCCAGAAGACGATGCCGCAGGGCCGTTGGTCGACATAGAGTCAGGCTTGAAGCTATGTGCTTTGCCGTCGCTAGAATGGATGCTTGACAACGAAGGGCAAGAGCGGTACAAGTATGACAAAACGTTTGGAGAGGCCAAATGGGATGAAATCGTCATCATCCATACATCAGGCACTACTGGTAAGCTGTCTGAAACAATCTGTTATCTCACAAGCTCACTTCTCTTTAGGCGAACCCAAGCCTATTTTTCACACCAATGGCATGTGGAGCGGATTAGGGAATGTGCCCATACTGAGTCGAAGACACTGGCCCCGCGGCATTGAGTACGAAAGCTGGATCGGGAAGACGTCTCTCAATCCATGTCCACCGCAATGGATAGCCGGCTTACATGCGATGGTTCTGAGCCCACTTTTCCTAGACAGTCCCTGCGTCATGATGCCCCGGGACGAAGTTTCCTTGACTCCTAACCTGTTCAAGAAGATCATGTCAATGAATAGAATTGAAGGCATTAGATGCCCTCCATTCACTATCAACTGCCTCTACGCGGACCCAGAAACTCGACAAATGCTGAAGTCACTGGACTTCATTGTGTACACGGGTGCACCCTTGGATCGAGCGATTGGGGACGACCTTTGTCAGCATACGAGATTGAGCCCGATGATTGGCTCCACGGAAAATGGAGATCAGATTGGCCTACGACCAGCCGATAGAAAGCTCTGGTATACCCATGACTTTGTTCCAGACAATGGTCATAGGATGGTGCCTTTGGACGCAGGCTCGGACGATCTCCACGAGCTCATACTGGAGCAGGTTGGAGATGGGCGTACCAATCCTTTCCAGACATCCTTCTGGAACCCGGGACATCGTTTCCTGGGGCGGATCGAAACGAAGGAGCTCTACAGGCCTGTCAAGGACTCTGATGGCCGCACGCGATGGGCGTTTTCTGCGCGCAAAGACGACTTGACGAAGCTGAGTTGGCTGGCCAAGTTTCATGCGCAGGATATTGAAAGGCGTATTTTGCAACATCCAGACGTGCAAAATGTGCTGGTAGGTGGCGAAGCCCGGCCTGCGCCGTATGTTATTGCTCAAGCAAAGGAAGGTGTGCTGGACGGAAAGAGCGAGGCGCAGCTGCTCGAGGAGCTTTACAATGGGGTGGTTGCTGCCACCAATAAGACCGACATGGATGAGATCAGGATTCCTAGGGAGACCGTCATGATCGCGAAGAAGGAGAAACCGCTCAAAGTCAGCTTGAAGCAGCTGGTGCAGCGGAAAGCTGTTGAGCAGGACTATTCTGAGGAGATTGAGCAGGCATATGTGCAGCTAGAGAACAGCAGGAAGCCTTAGGCCCATCTGAATAGTACGTCGTTACATGTTGTTTGGCGTTGGTGTCGTAAGTCGAGTCAGCCGAACCTAGGTGCCTAGGAAGGCGCGTCTGGCAAAACGCGCTAACGGCGTGAACCTCGGCTTCGCCAGTGATGATGTCGGCCGTTGCGGTTGAGTTACTCCGCATTTCAGGAAGGAGCGGCCATAAACCTTGAGGTGTCTTCTCAGTGAGATAATCATAATCTCTGGTTCACTTCCCAAGTGAACGCAATATTCCAAGTATAATGTCTTACTCTAAGCGCATCGATCAGATTGCAGGCCATCTCAACTACCCCAAGGGTATGTTGGCTGGCCAAACCGCCATTATCACTGGTTCAGGACAGGGAATTGGCGCCGAGGCTGCGAAACTGTTTGCAAAGGAAGGCGCGAAGGTTGTGGTTGCCGATGTAGATGCCAGTAAGTCAATGCAGTTGCTGCATGCAAACACGGGCTGACAATTGGTATAGAAAAGGCAGAATCGGTAGCTGCGGAAATCAACGAGTCTGGTGGCAGCGCCCTGGCTGTCGCAGGCGACGTGCTCGACGACGCCTACATCAAGACGCTTATTGCAAAGGCCGCTGAGTTCGGAGGCGGCAAGATCCACATCATCGTGAACAACGCCGGCTACACATGGGATGGCGTCATCCACAAGATGACAGACAAGCAATGGCACACGATTGTCGACCTGCACGCGACAGCGCCTTTCAAGATCGTGAGGGCTGCGGCGCCATACTTCAGGGTCAAGGACGGCGAGCCGAGGAATATCATCAACATTTCCAGCACAAGTGGTGTGAACGGCAACGCTGGACAGATCAACTACGCGCTGGCGAAGGCAGGTGTGACCGGCATGACCAAGACCATTGCGAAAGAGTATGTACCCCCCTCTCTCACTCCAATGTATTGCCCTCTAATGCGTCTTCAGATGGGGCCCTCAATTCGGCGTGCGCTCCAACACAGTAGCCTTTGGCCACATCCAGACACGGTTGACGGCGGCGAAGGAGGCTGGCGCATTCATTACCACGCCCGACGGCGAGAAGGTAGCGCTGGGAATACCACAGGCGCAGAAGGCAGGCGCAGGGCAGGGCCAGGAACACATGGACATTCCTCTGAGGAGACCGGGCACGGCGACCGAGGCGGCGAGTGCCGTGTTGGCGGTTGCGAGTCCGCTGTTCAGCTATGTGAACGGAGAGACGATCAAGGTGACTGGAGGGCGCGGCATGTAGAAAGTGGCAAGCCTCGTGCGACAATTGACAAACTTCTTTCCAAGCTCAAACACATGCCGTGGTGATGGAGTCGCAAAGATAGACAGCTATGGTTTCAACTACCAAGATCTTGGACAGGGTCTCGGCACCCATGTTCCGCTCCGCCATCCCCAGATGCTGGATGCACATCAGCCACCTGCATCCGACAAGACGCAGCCCCTCGTCCGCCTTCTTCTTGCCTGTATTGATATAGTTGTCGTCGTTCCTTATACCCGTGCACCATGTACATGCCCAATCGATAGTCCATCTACCCAATTACCCTTCAAAGCATACGCGTACGCAGCATTCGCTTCCTGCGGACTATTCGCCGCGGGCGAGCGAGCATCCCTTACCACGACACCGCGCACCACGTGTACGACAACACCCTCACGTGGTTTTAGCTCGCCATGAGCGACGAGAAACATGGCTACGTCCGCGAGCCATCTCCGCCACCCATCCCCACATACGACGAGGCGACTTCCTCGCGCAACGCCCCTGCGCGCCTCGGGCCCAACGAGACCAGCGACGATGCCGAGCGGCAAGGCCTCCTGAGCCCGGATGTGCGCATACAAGCCGATCCGCGCAGGCGCAATGGATACTACCAGGCCCCCTCCGTACAGTCGGTCGACGACGATGGCGACTCGGATCTCGGGAGTCCGGTGCGAGAGAGCCAGGACGAGGACCTGCGCCAGACCATGGAGGAGATGGACATTCTAGATCCAGAGTCTGCTGAGGAGGGGCGCTCAAGGCGGAATCGATCAAGAGGCAGGTTCTCGAAACGCTTCTACAGCATCAGACATTCCCTATCGAGTTGGAATCTGCCGCGAATACCCTGGCCCAGCTGGCGTCCCAACTTCAGCGCCATGACGGACCACATACCGACGATACCGGAAGAATACAAGCCGGGATGGTCGATTATCGCGCGATTGTTCGGTCTCATACTGATCATCGTTCTGGTATACCTGCTGGTCGTCAGCGAGGTGGTGCCCATGGGCGGAGGATTCGGCACGCCATTCAACCCCGAGTGGGTACGGTCGACGGCTATGGAGAGCGTCGAGAGCTGGCGAATTGAGAAGAATCTGGAATACATTACAAGCTACGACCACATAGGGGGCACTGAGGGGAGTTATGTGCTGGGACAGTGGATCGAGGGCAAGTTCAAGGATGCGCACATGGACACATATACCCACGACGAGTACGTTACACATTGTGAGACGTCACAAAAGACCACGCTAACTAGTGCAGGTACTACGTATACATGAACTACGCGAAGAAGGGCGGACGGAGGGTCGCCATCGTCGAGCCACAGGATAAGAAGTGGGAGGCCAAACTCGAAGAGCCGTCCGTCTTCAATCCTGCCAAAGCGCAAACGCCCGCCTACCATGGCCTATCTGCGACAGGAAACGCCACCGGGCCCTTGATATATGTCAACTACTGCGACAAGAAAGACTTCAAGCGATTATGGGATAGCGGGGTGGACGTACAAGGAGCGATTGCGCTCTGCCGATATTACGGAACACAGCCAGATCTATCCATGAAGATCAAGGCTGCGCAAGATGCTGGGGTTGTGGGAGTCTTGGTATACTCGGACCCAGCAGATGACGGCTTCAAGAAGGGGAATCCCTGGCCAGATGGCAAGTGGCGGCCTGGAGACAGCGTGCAGCGAGGATCCGTCGCACAGACAAATATGATCATGGGAGATGTGCTCACGCCTGGACTGCCGAGCTTCAAGAAGGTGGAGCGCATGCCCCGAGACAAGAACCCGGCCTTGCCAAAAATCCCAAGTCTACCGCTCTCGTGGAAGGATGCGCAGAAGCTGCTCAAGTCGCTCAAAGGCTCAGGCGAGCAATTGCCAGATGAATGGATTGGTGGTGTACCGGATGTTGGTGAGCACTGGTATTCTGGTCATCCAAAGACTTCGCCAAAGGTGTTCCTGCAAAACGACCAGGATGAGGTCGAACAACAGCGGATCACCAATGTTTTCGGATCTCTCAAGGGCAGCGAAGATCCGGCTAGCAAGATCATAATCGGTAACCACCGCGATTCCTGGTGTTTCGGTGCGGCAGACCCTGGCTCTGGCACGGCTGTCATGCTCGAAGTTGTACGTGTACTAGGCGAGTTGCGCTCGCAAGGATGGCGACCGCTCCGCACAATCGAATTTGCGTCCTGGGACGCTGGTGAATACAACAGAATCGGCTCTACCGAGCATGTTGAAGCCAACGTACAAGCCCTTCGAGATAGCGCCATCGCCTACCTGAATGTCGACGTAGGTGTAACGGGTGACAAGCTGTGGGCCAAAGGCTCTCCGATCTTCCAACACGCCTGGACGCGCGTGCTCGACCGACTTTCCGACCCCCGGGAGAACAAGACTATGAAGGAGCTGTGGGAGACCTCGGACTCCAAAATTGGTAACCTAGCTGCTGGAAGCGACTACGTTGCTTTCCAATCCATTGCTGGTACCTCCTCACTCGACTTCGGCTTCACCAGCAAAGAGGGTCAATCAAACCCCATTGCGCGCAGCTGCTACGAGACTCTCTCCTGGATGCGCAAATACATCGACCCCGGTTTCGCTTACCACGCCGTGCTCGCCCAACTCTGGGTTCTTCTCATCCTCGAGCTCGCTCAAGAGCCCATCATTCCTATGAAGATTGATGACTACGCCCGCGCTCTGCAGGAAGAAGGCCAGCAGTTGTTGGACTGGACTGAGAAGAAAAGCGGTGGTGGCGAGTACGACATTGAGATGTTCCAACCTCTAGTCGACAGTCTGAGCATGTTCAAGAAGAAAGCAGAGACGTTCGGTCGGTGGGAACAAAGTTGGTATAACCAAGTCTATGCCACTGGTGGCTTCGAAAGTAGCGGTGTCACAATACAGAGGGTAGGCCACAATGGGAGGATCGCGGGTTTCGAGACAGACTTGCTTGATCTCGCGAGGGGAAAGGATGACAAGGGACCGCATGGTGTAAGTTTCTCAACCGCGCCGTAAATATGGTCATCATGAACTAACACACAGACAGCTTCCCAACCGCGATCAATACAAACACGTCGTCTTCGCCCCCGACCTCAACAACGGCCTCGAAGCCAGTGTCTTCCCCTTCGCACGCGAAGCAATCGAGAAGAAAGACTGGGATGCCGCATCCAAAGCCATCAAGAAGACGGCTGATATATTGAACCGCGCGAGCGACAGGCTCGGCTAAGATATGTGTGTATATGTACAGCAGAGTTGCATTTCCGCGGTGTTTGGGCGTAGCGAAAGACCGGCTGCATATCATTATTGGGCTGGGAATATGTCTCGTATCTAGTGCCGGGCCTCGGCTTTTTATTTGGGTGTCATATTCATCTCTGTTTGGTGAGCGTCGTCATCATCGCTAGTTAAGAGACTGTTTGATGCGCCACCTTTTCACGTGCTTGTGCTAGCCCGACTCTGTTCGCGTCTATATAAATCTATTTTTCGTGCTCTTCTGCTTCAATTACCTCATTTCGCCATCTTCATGAACAAAAGGCATGCAGACCTTCACATGTCGGCGAAATATCCTGTTCTTTTCAAAATATATTCGTTTTCTGCATGATGGCTTCTCATCCACGTGGTCAATATTCCAAAAGGCGGCCTAGGCGTCGGTCTGTTTTTCTGTGCGCGCCTCACAAAAAGCCACATATCACGCATGCATGTCCCTCTTCCCTTCATTCAGAAAGTCGAACACGAGTAGCTGTACGATCCTCTCAAAGATCTTCAATTCTAACAAT